CGCGCCCGCCGCGACGCCCCCCTCCCTCCCTTCCCCCTTTCCTTCCTAAGTGAGGCCAAGTCAATCCGAATCGAATCGAGTCCTCCCTTTTCCTCTCCGTAAGTCTGTCTGGAGTCCTCAATAAGTCTGTGAGAGCGGCGCGAAGGCGGTTCGCAGGGGCCTCTCGGCTTCCAGAGGGGCCCCTCTGTGAGCGAGGCGGTGAGTGCCGCCGGGAGCGCCGGGAGCCACGTGCCTCTCGGTAGGCAGTGAGCGAGCGGGAGCGCGCCGTGCGAGCGTCGGGGGAGCGCCCCTCGTGCCAGTGCTGCAGGGGAGGCCCGGGGCCATGGGCACGATCCATCTATCCAACCGCTCCCTATCCGCCGGGGTCCATGTTCCTGCATGGGTCCTCTCCCCGGCACCAAGTTGTTCTCATCCCACATCAAGTGTTTCTAACTTCGTGAACTCGGCGCGTGCGTGCTCGCGCCCACACACACACACTCTCTCACTTGTAGCATGGAAAAAGCAAGTTCTGGGCACGGGGTTGGCGATATCCGCCGTTAACGAAAAAGAAAACGCGCGCCGTATGGCAAGAAGCGACTTTTATTAGTTTGGTTTTCGGTATTTTATAAAGCGGAAAAAAAGCGTCGCTGGAATCGGGAGCGGAGCAAAGCCAATCAGACGGCATATTACAATCTCAAGTTGTTCATGAATAACGCTGCAGCATTTTCTATCAGAGCCGGGACCGGGGCGGGGCTACCCTCCACCACGGCTGCCGGACGCATATTTCTCTTGCTCCCCCCCCCCCTCTCTCTCTCTCTCGGACTAATTTCCAATAACGTCTCCGCCAGCACCAACGATTTGTCCCTGCTTTGTGTGTGTTATCTCGGCTAAATCTGGGCCGTGCAGCTCGGCATTGGGGGGGGGGGGGGGCACGTGATCTCTTTGTCTTCTCTTTTGTACCCCTCACCCCTCCCTTTGGATCGCGCTCTGTCATTGTCATTGTCAACATCATGTTGTGAAAAATATTTTTAACATTTTTTTTTCTAGGAGGGGTAGTGGGGTGTTGTATCATGAAATATCCAAGTAAATGTTCTATAAAAGTTGTAATTTCAATTGTACATTTAAAAATTGTATAGACAATATGAAGACACCATATGCACATTTTAAAACCGAATTTTTCGAAGTTTGGCCGATGTTTATTGGACTTTGCCTTAAATGTAGACATTGGCGTTTTTCTTTCTTTACTGTTGACAATGTAGGCATTTGAGTTTAACAGAGCGTCCCACTACGCATCATCGCGGCTGGGGGTGAACAGGAAGAAAAGAGAAAAGGCGCGAGATGTGAAATGAGAACGACCAAAGATTTCATTACCGCGCGGAATTGGAGTTATCCAAAAGCAATCAAATTCATATTAGAAAAATAAAATAATATGTGAAGGCGTACGGAAAGGGGATGAGAGGGCTGAAAGGTGGGGGCTGGCGCTGGTGTCTGATGGGTGGAACGGAGTAGGGTTTCAGAGTCTGGAATGGACCTTCACGGGAAGAGCACCCTCGGGTACCCTCAGGGTACCGTCGCCGGGTACCGTCGGGGTACTGTCGGGGTACCCTGCGCACCGGGCGCCCGCCATGTCAGCGCGTTAATAATGGATAACAAAATATGACGGGGGAAACGGCGGAAACATCTTCCTTGCCGTCATCCCGTCGGCATTATTCTCTTAATTAGATTATAATTCTTTACCGTGCAGCGCACTGGCGTCGTGAGAAAGGCTTTCAACGCTCGGTGAGGGCGGTGGGTATGTGGGTAGTTTACGGGGGAGGGCAAGAATAGAGATATCTATTTCAAAACAATATTGTTGCGTTATGTTTAGAATGTCCCCGAATGTCCCCAAGACTGCCTGTAACGGACGGGAAAGTGCCCCTGCCATCTCCATTTTCCCTCCAGCACAAAACCAAAGGGCGCTTAGGTGTGCCGGCATACGGCTACAAACCAGAGTTGTTTTGTTTCTTGATGTTGTTGTTTGTGAGAATGTGAGCCTTTGCAATAGCTCTTTCGTATGGTTATTGTAAATTCTCGCCCTCCCGGGAGCGAGGTTCCTGTCCCCTTCTGATCTCCCCCCTCGTCTGTTCGCAGGTACTGGGTGGATCCGAGCGCGGCGGTCAACGTCGACCCCCGCCTGCAGAAGGGGCTGCTGCTGTTCTGCTCGGCCAACTCGTGCATGAACCCCATCGTGTACGGCGCTTTCAACATCCGCAAGCGGCGCAGCACGAGCACGGTGAGTGCCTGTGTGAGAGTCTGTGTGAGAGCACGTGTGAGTGCACGTAAACGGTGCACGTGCACGTTAAGTGCTAGTGTGAGTGAACGAGCACGGGAGTGCCCGTGTGGGTGCACGTGCACAGTGCACGACCCCCTCGACTGCTGCCTGGTGTCTGGCTTCCTGCAGGCGGCCTGCCTCATCACTGCTTGCATGACCAGTGCTGTGTTCACCGTGCGTGATTAGAAAGACAGGGCACTTGCTTTCACCCGCTCGGGTGCTCTCTAGTGCGGTCTATAGGATCATCCGGAACGTGTACGATCATTCGCCGTTACGAACCGGCCAAGTTCAGCCACTGCAAGCTCTCGTAGCGCCTGATGGGTAGGCAATATCTTGCCTGTCGTGCATGCGTGTGTTGCGGGCTGGCCTACCCAGAGACTCACAGGCGCTGTGCTGCCGTACAATGCCGAATAAAGCTGGAAAAAACGGACGCAGGGAACCTTTTCAGGTGTAAATCTCCGATTTCATTGAAACTCGGAAAAATTAAAGGTTATTGTACTAGAAGTCGGACGATGGCACTTGAATTTTTTCCTGAACCTCACAGTTACTAGGGGTTTACTTAAGCCTTACACTGTTTTTGTCTCAAATATCCCTCTACCGCCTTAACGGTACAAAATAGAGCAAAACGGACAAAGGACGCTACTTTAATGAGTTACCCCTTAGAACACTGCCTTACATTTTACAAAAAATATCATAAAAACCATGCATAAAAACCGTGCTCCTACCCCTATATAGGGGAAAACTAATTGTGAGGTTCAGGAAAAATTTCAAGTGCCATCCGATTTCTACATAAATAACCTTCAAATTTTCCAAGTTTCAACGAAATCGGGGATTTACACCTGAAAAGGTTCCCTGTAAGTATTTTCTGGAGGAGTCCTGTCCTGGCCGTTAAATCTTCTTGTCGTACGTTATGGAACGGGGTCCATCTGTCTAAAATATTCCCCCCCCC